AAAAAAAAAGAAAAAAGAAAATGAGATGCAGAGAGGAAAAAACAAAGACCAGGCTGACTCTGGTCAGATAGAAGTGAGTGGAGCCCCTGAGACTGAAGTCCTCACTCACGCTTCAGGTCTGGAGCGGGACTCGCCCCATGGCTCGGCTTTCAGCCAAACAGCAGGGCGGCACACACCCCTGAGAGTAGCCAGCCATGTAAGCTGCACAGAGCAGCAGTCCCCAAGGACAAAGCTGAGAGGTTAGGAAAAGAGGGCTGGGAGCAGAAGCAGTATAGCAGTGGGACAAGCCTGCTCCTTCGTGAGGATTGCGATCCATGTCAGCACGCAAAATGTCTGATGCTTGAATAGGAAACTGACCAGCCTTGCGAACTTCGACCTAACTCACAGCGAAACTGTGAGAGGCAAGATTCTCCCCCTAAAAGAACCCGAGAAAACATTGGCCTAAGTAGACAAAAGGAGAGCTGCCCCCCGCCCCCTAACACACTCCACTCCCCGCCACCCCCAGCGAGATGTTCACACCTCTCTAACGACAGGAATGGAAAGTTCTTTCTTCTCCTATGAAACTGCTTCCCCAGAACTGCAGTCGGCGAATGTCCTACAGACCACAGGTGCTGACACTTGGCCAAGAAGCAGATGAGGCGGTTTCTTGGTGAGTAGGGGCCAGGTGCACTGCACTGGTGTGTGACAGGGAGGGGCGGGAGAGGCTTGGCAGCCTCCTGCCCTCTGAGTTTTCAAATTGGTCTCAACCGTGGTGAGCAGAGGAAGCTCTTTTGCTAACCATCGTCTCGCTTAGAAACAGCTAGCAAGCTGTTACCTTGCCCAGCAGTTTCTGTTATAGGTGGTTTTTCTCTGTTCCCACTTCAAGGTGCAAACTTCGAACCAGCTTTTTTACCGACTGGTATTCAGACAGTTCAAGTAGGGACGCTGTCTGAAATATTTGGAGAAAGAACCTCAGATTGGCATTAGGTCTCGTTTTACAGATGAGGACACTGAGACACAGAGAGGTGAAGGCGTGTGCAACCCTGGCGCCCACTCTGTTCTCTGAATGCAGACGTATTAAAGGAGGGAAGGTGTACCGTGAGAAAGGAAGCTTCGTGAGAGAATGGGCTATCCTCTCTCTCCTTAGCATTCCACAGAAACGGACCGGCTGAGTTCAGTTGGGAGCGTTGTCTGGAGAGCTCCCCAGTCGAAGCCAGAGTTGGTGCCAATTCGGGGACTCGGTGTGCGTCAGAGTAAAAAGAACTGTGTTTCATGGGGGCTTCTGTAGCCGATTATCTAGAGCAGTGGTTCTCAACCTGAGTCGTGACCCCTTTGGGGGTCCAATGACCCTTTCACAGGGGTCGCCCAATTCATAACAGTAGCAAAATGACAGTGATGAAGTATCAACAAGAATAATGTTATGGTTGGGGGGTCGCCACCACATGAACTGTATGAAAGGGTCGTGGCATGAGGAAGGTGGAGAACCACTGCCCTGGAGAGGCAGATTCATTACTTGGCACATCCAGCCAGGCATCTGTGGTTTCAGCAGCTTCCCCGGTGATTCACACCATCAGCCAAGTTTGGGGACCTAGGCGCTAACCTTTCAGATGGCCATTGAGTGTGTTAATTGCCCGCACCCCCCATGGATTCCACTCCCTAATGTAGCCTTGTGTTATTCACACCTATTTCCCACTACTTTCCAGAGGAGCGAAAGAAAGAGCACTTATGACAGACTTGCTGAAGGGCCAGGCTTTAAGACCCTGACTGTGGCAGCTTGCTGCAGTGTCCCACATCGGAGGGAGCTGCGTGCTACGTGGTGTCAGCAGCAGACAAGTCGTTAGTCTAAGTTCTCAGCAGTATTCTTTGTCAGCTGTAGTGGTGGGTGGGTGGGTACGTGCGGCATTGTAATAAGTTCATTGAGGTAGTCTTGTGTTTAGCTCAGGTTTTTCTCTCTGGAATCCAAACCCTTTTGGGTGCTTGGGCTCTGCTGCTGTCTCCAGTTATGAATTGACAGACACCCCTCCAGCCTGGGCATGCTGTTGAATAATGCTACCTCTGGGTTGATGAGTTTCTCTGGAGACCAGACTTGTCATTTGAAAGCTCTTTGAAGACAGACTCTTACAGTTTCTGTCTCTCTCTCTCTCACACATACACGTTTAGCAATTAAATGCTAGCCATATTGTGAGCACTGTTTATTGGCATGAGATTAAAAGGAAAAAATGAAACACTGTTTAGAAGAACGACAGGCTTCAGAGAGGAAGTGTGCAACATTAACAGTGCTCGC